ACAATAAAATGTTCCAAATTTGAACCAATCCCCCTTCTTAGATCAATATCTTTGAAATGTCCTTACCATTTGAACTCCTTGAAGGTAATTTTTTTTTATTTTTATCGAGAGTATTCTTAGGTAACTTCAATTATCTATGATGTAATTAAGTATAGGGGCTTGCCCTTATAGGAAGCTTTTCCCGAACCCAGCATAATATAAACCCTATTTAATTCCTTATATTAAATAGGGGAACTTGTCGGCCAATACATTGGTTTCGCAGACCAAACGGATGTCATAACTTTCTTTAGTTTATTTGATCGAGCCTCACTCTCAATTCTTGCGTTCATCCTTCGGGATAGATACATGATTGAGATGAAGCGCTCTTTCATCTAAACTATGAAAATTATGGGGTCAGTTTGACTTCATCTTTTTCAAAACTAAATTTTTTAAAACGTCCTTCCGAAGCAGGCAACGGGATTTCAATTCCAATGACCGACAGCTTCTTACGGGCAAACCCCACACCAAAAATAGTGCCGACAACTCTGTATTTATCATGGATGGAGATCTCAATTAAAGAACGAGATATGTGACTTATATTCCATGTGTTGTGATGTGTTGAAGATATAATGAACAAAGGAGTTTTTTTTTTTTTTTTGTCATGTATAGTTTTTCAACGACCAAGCAATGAACGTGCCGTCAAACATTCGATAACTATAGATTGATGATCATCATCCAAAAGAACCTATATCCATTGGCCTAGTCCAGTCAGAAGTCTGCCATTTGCTGAAATGCAGGACCCATCAAAAGGTCATTATGAATAATTCAGTGGCGGTCTTAGCCCATCATAAATGTTTTTCCGACCAATTTGTTGCCCGTCAGAAATTTATTGCAAAGTATAACAACCAACGACAAATTTCAAATTACAGACAGAATCGGTCATCGGCAATCACATAAATTCATGTAGCCTTAAACTTTAAATGAACCAAGCTTAAGGCTAACTAGTGGTAATTTGGCACCATTATGATCTTTAAGTCCATTATCATAATAATTTTTTTTATAATTCATGAAACTCAAGAAGAGCATAAAATGTTGATAAACATTAAATAATCAAAATATGATTTTCTCAATTGAATATTAGTTCTTTTTTATTATTAAAAAATTAATAGTCATAATTTAAATTTCAATCATTTTTTTTATACCTCATTTTCATATATGGCGCAAACATTATACTAAATAAAATTAAATTAAATTGATTTAATTTAAATAGTTTAAGAAAGGAAGATTTACATATATACCACCCAAAAAAATAAAATTAAAGTTATTTAATTAAATAATTTAAGAAAATATGGTTTGCCACAGCCTTCAAGCATAAGACAGACAGAACAAATGGAAACTTAGAGCTTTTCATTCTTTGATTCCTCCAAAGCAAAATGCCAAATGTAAAGAAAAGCAAGCAATAAGAGAATAAAATATATGGGCAATAGATTAAAAATAAGGAAATTTATGTATTTACATATGTGTCCCTTAAAAGTTTGATATTTGCATTCATAAGGTGTCATGAACTTATGTATGAAAAATATGTATTTATTCGAGGATGATTACATACAGATCATCCAAAATATTGATATTTATAAGTTATATACACTTTGTTGAGATATTAAGGGCAAAGAAAAATAGGAATCGACACAAATTCAGAAGAACACACAGAGATTTACGAGGTTCGGGAAGAACTCCGCTCCAGCATTTGTGTCATTTATGGTATATGAGCCATACCTAACACACTTGATTTTTTTTTTTTTTATGTATCTACGCACGAAAAAACTATCCTGAATTTGATGAAAATATAAAATATGGGTTGTGGTTTTACCGTGAATTTTGATATTCGAGTTAGAATTTGAAAAATGGGGGAAAATGGTGGTAGATTTGTAAATAGCAATGTTTGGGGTGGTCAAGGAGTTAGTAATGGACTAATAGAGTGTTTGGTATGTAAATATGAAAGTTTGGGGGTGGGAAATGTAGATACATGAGAATTGAGGGGTATGTATGTAAAAGCCTCATTTAAAAAATTATCTGATTGTTATTTTTAATTTAATTTTCTTGTAACTAACTATTGACCAAGTCAAAATGGGGAGGGAATTTTAAAATATGTACCAAAATCACTCAAACCTTACAAAGCATATATGACTTCCTCTCCTTCAAAGAAAAGAAAAACAAGTTGAAACTTGGAAGTACTAAAAGCTTGTTTCCATTTGTAAAGCTCTCTCTCTCTCTCTCTCTCTCTCTCTCTCTCTCTCTCTCTCTCTCTCTCTCTCTCTCTCATGCACTTTTAGTATGAATGATTACAAGTGGGGCTGTGAATTTAGCTTGAAGACCATTAATTGCTCGGAAATTGATTTGAATCATGGGTCTCGTTGAGGAGATCGAAATAAACTAGCTGAGCTATGAGCTGAAATTTCGAATCAAATCTTTTGTAGTCAATTTGAAGTCATACATTGATCGATTCGAACTGACACAATATCGACTCATAATAGTTTTTTTTTTTTTTTTATGAAAAGTAAATATATAATGCTAAGTAATGTTGAATATAACGAGTCAAAGAGCCAATTTCAATCTGCTGAAGCGAATTCAAATAACTCAATTTGAGCTAGTTGGTTTTAATTTTGAGTTGGATCGAGCATGAACCGATTTAAAACCGACCCTAACTCGGCTCGAAATCAGATCGTTAACAACCCTAGTCACAACAGAATTTAAGAATAACATTCTTTAACTATGTATAATTACATAACTTTATTATTTTAATCTAAGAGGGTGAAAGCCATACTTGGTTCTAAATAAAAAAAAAATTAGTTGTTTATTTTGGTGATTTTAGCAATTTACATAATTGCCATAAAATTTTTATGTATTTACATATTGATCACAAACCAAAATTATTACATAACTATTATATTTTAATAGATTTATTGCAAAAAAAAAAGTGAATAAATCATAAAAATCTAATAATAAAATTACACTAAAAAAAATATGGGAATTTTGTAAAAAAATAAAATTGTTGGTAAAATTTTAATGAACTGTGAAGCAAAATGTGAGTGCTGCAAGATCTCAAAATTAAAGTAATTATTATCTTAAACTTATTAATTTTTATATTTAATTTAATGTAATTATTATTTTTTTTTAAACATCATATTTTAATTGGGTCAGTAATTAAAGTTGTATGTTCTTCTATTGCTTACAATAGTTTTAATAATTAGTTGACAGAATATTATTTGATTTTTTAATATTAATTAATTAAACAATTAATTAATATTGAGTAATATTTTTTATTAAAAATTGCATTTTAAATTTAACCTTTATGATAAGACTTCAATAATGAGCCAGATTATTATTTGTCTATTAAATATATTAGTTTTTTTTTTATTTTTTTTAATAAAAATATAAAAGATTATGACAACAAAAAATAATTAATTAAGAGTAATTATAAATAATTGTGTGAATTGCTCCCTTTTTTTAATTCTAAAAAAATAAATCATAAACTTATGCACATATTTTTTTATCAAAAAATCTCAAATTTATGTCTGTTGTGATGAGTGCAGGGTTGATCATCACAAGGCTTGTTATGTTGGGTTTCTATTTATTTTCTTCGAATGAGTTGGATTGAGCCCTAGTCGTGCCTAACTCGAGCCGAGCTCATCTGTCAAAATACTAGTTTAAGCTCGAGGCGAGCTCGAATGAAAAGCTGAACCTTAATTCGCCGTATTATCAACAACCTCATGAGCCAACTAACAGATTTGAATGAAATTATGACGAGAGCTCACCCAAGAAGCCATCAAAGTAATCGGACGAAAAATGAGATGTTATGAAAGCTCGCCGAAGATGGCATTGACGTTACAGGAAATTCGATTGGCGAAGCAGCCTTCCGAGTCGCGAGCCAAAGATCCAAGCTTCAACGAGCTTTTACTAATTCAATAAACAAGCTCGACACAACTCAATAAGCTCGAACCCTGAGCTCGTCATCGAGTCAAGCTAGAACCAACTCGCTTGCTCCCCCTTC